CCTAGTACACTGCACACATATTCGACGTTTAATTTAACTCACCTTCCGCTGATTGGATTACTATGTACAACAACTTCTGTTTCTCTTCCTTTCAGTACAGTCTCATCCTTCATTTTACTTCCATATTATTCACAGATGATCAAGTTTTATCTTTTCTTTGTGGATTTCTGGACTTTGATGGTTTTCTCATCTGATTTCAATGTCGTCCTCTATTCGGTGCCACTTACCAATGAGAAACTTTTTCCCCAACTGGAAAAAGAGAGAGTTGTGAGATTGAATTTACTCGTTTTTAACTGTTTTCTGTCTGTCATGGCCCGGCGAAACGCTCAAAATAGCTCACAGTTAGCAATGGACTTGAACAATATCTATGATTTTTTTCATAAAATGATGTATTGGGTACATTCTGTTAGAGCCCCCCGTAACATTATGATAGGCACCCCCCAACATAAACGCTGGCATAGCCCCCCACATAGCTGATCCCCGTGTTTTTGTGGGGGCTCATATCGAAATGTTGAAAGCATTTTGATATAGCCCCCCGCAAATGTGGGGGCCGTAACAGAATGCTTCGAAGTATTATGATAAGACCCCCCACAATTTGATAGCTTACCCCACAAAACTGAGTATCATAGGTACGCAGCGAAATTGATGAGGCCCATTTATATTGATTTTAATTATTTTTGTTCAAATTTCATGCGTTTTTCTGCTTTTTTTTGCTTTTTCACAATGTTTAAGCGTTGAATCCCACTCAAACTCAGGCTTAGGAAACTCCCGAAGCAAGCTTGAACGCATCTGATAGTGAGCCTGATTTTAAGCTCCGCGAGGTTTTTTTTTCCATGATTTTCCTTTTTTTGGGTGTGGGGGGTTATACCAATGTGCGATTTGGGGGGTGTATAACAGACCCCTGCGGGGGTGTTTAATGGAAGTTTTCCGGGAACTTTGATATACACCCCCCAAACAACGGTGGGGGGCTATAAAGACTTCTGTATAGCCCCCCACAGTTTTTATACTGATATGTACCCCCACTGTTATAGCCCCCCACTTTTCAACGGCGGGGGGGTTATTCCAATGTGCGGGGGGCGATTCCGTGTGGGGGGGGGTATAACAGAA